GACACAGCCAGCATTCCTCCGGATTTTTCCCTACAGTACTCACCATCTTTAACAGTCTTTGCAGTTTCTTTGCTAGAATTAGAGTGTAAGTCCTAGTAGAGTGGTGACGTGCGACTCCCTTCCTTCCTCCCTCCTTCCCTCCATTCTTTTCCCTCCTTTTCTTCCTTCCTCTCTCTCCCTATCCAGTTTTTCCCTTGCTGTGTTCCCCAGAGCCTAGGATAACTCCTGGCACATTCCAAATCTTCCATATGTGTATTAGCCAAGAACAAAAGCAAAACTTTTATGGGATTTTTTATCTTTGGACAAAAAAGGAAATATTATATTGTATAATCAGGATTGCTTCACATTAGGACATGCACAGGATACCTTCAAATCTTCTGGAACCAATCTGAAATCCAGAATTTCTTTTTTTTCACATAATTATTTGGGATATACTGTCAGAGTTTAAAAATCACAGGATCAGCTTGCCAGTAGGAATATTTCCTGTGAAACAATAAAGTCCAGATGCTACAGTTTCAATGACTCACCCTGAACATGTGGCATGTCTCAGGAGAAAAGTCAGGTGTTTTGTACTAACACATGACCAGCAGCCTTTCCCCTCTATCATGTTCCTTTTACCTTAGTACCTGAGAAGGGTCAAAGCTGAGGAGAGTGACTTGACGTTCAACTTTGCAAAAAGTAAAATGCTTCTTTGTATTAGAAGCCCTCAGAGAGAGCTCTTCTTCCTCACTAACAACATTTCATTAAATACTTTCCATTTGGTTTCATAACCTGTGTGCTGAAATTTGGTCCTGTGGAGTGCAGAATAAGACACATATTATCTGTAGGATATTTCTGAACCTGCAGAATTTTTATTTTATTACAAATATTTAAACGGCTTTGGCACTACATTAGAGCTATATTCTACCAATGAGGCTGCAAAGAAAGTTCAACCTTACTTACGTCAGTTCTCCTGTATGACATGTTTGTACTTACTTTCTGCCACTACACTGAGAGTTCTTACTTGAAGAACCAATTAGCGGCTGAATTTCTATGGCCACATGGACACTTCCCTTGTGACCCCAGGTAAAGACTCAAAATCTAAATGAAATCCAGGCCACATGGGCACTTCCCTTGTGACCCCAGGTAAAGACTCAAAATCTAAATGAAATCCAGTTAATGACCAGTTTATATAAGCAAAGCTTATCATCTTGACTGAACTGAGTAAGTAATTTAAGGCATTGACTACATTCATAAAATACAAATTCTAGTTGCCTTCAATATCTTTCCTCATGGGTCATGACTAATTTTAGGTCATGACTAACCGCAACTTCCAGTGACCTGAGATGCAGAAACTCCTACTGCAAAACCGATCTAACAACATTTGGCTCTGGTTTTACTTATCATTACTGGAAGACACATAAAAAAGTTAACATGATTCAACCCCAGCCTGCTACTCAGAGCTCACACCAAAAGGGACACACTGATAAAGAAAGGATAGTAAAACATCCACAGTGGGGAAATGAGTTATCAGAGAATCATGAAAACCTTTGAGGCATTTAATTTAAGGGATTGATTGGTACCAGTGCAGGAGAAAGTCTCCATTTAGTACTCTTACATACACATATTTGGGGAAAACAATATTTCCTATAAGACAGTGATAACTGACATGTATTTATATGCACATTCATAAATGTTTTGGAATGAATTTGACTCCTTGTATATATTGTACCTTTCAACATCTCTTTTTTTCTCTACCATTATACTGTAAGTTCTTAAGTAGACTGAGTAGGGGTAATTTTGTGTCTTATTAGAGCTCTTCCTGGTGACCACTGGGAACGTGCTCTGCGCTCAGAAGAAACTGAGTGACAGCTGTTGGCAAACAGGTATATAAATAATAGTGAACAATTACCTTGAATCCTGATAAAAGTTCTCCAGGATTGAGGCAGGCTTAGTAGATTCTTATTGATAACTCACCAGAGATCTGTACCCCATAACCAAAGGCTGTGGCTTTCCACTCTGCTCATTGCTCACCCCTACTAGCAAGTTGAATGAATGTGTCAGGAATGTCTCCAGATGCTATGGAGCACCTTAAGCTCCACACTAGTCATTCATACTCGGGCGTTGAATAACTCCATGGCTCAGAATCTGCCTTCATCCCACAGAGCCTGAGGAGGATTTAATGCCAATTCAGGGTGATGTTTTTATTCTGTGGTAGCATGTAATCTTTAGCACAAAACAACAATAATGAAAAAGAATACCAAACTAGAGATTGAGAGGTGTATTTGCCATTCCCAGCTCTGCCAAGAATTTCTGCTTTTCTACATTCTAGAGTTTCCTCACCACTAGATAGATGGTCAATAGGATCTCATCTAGATTCAAATTCCTACGGGATTATTTTTTTGTATCAATGTCAATATAGGAGGAAGATAATGTGCATTAAATGGATGTAGAAAATCATTTCTATTAGTAAGCCAGAAATATTATGTTATTGAAATGATTCATCTTCATTAACACACAATAATCAATTCAACAAACTAAATGAGCAGGACTTTTTTTTATAATTAGCAAAAGCACAGTGCCACCTTTAGCTAGTACTTTGTCTTTACACCTTCAGTGATCTCAGTAAAAGAATTTAGATTAAAGCCTCAGAAACCAGACATTAAAGCAAATCCTCACTCTAGAAGGAGAAAAAAAAAAACTGCCACTAGATCCCTGGATGTTATGCTATTTTTTCTCATTAACTAATTATCATAATTAGGTATCACACTCCAAGAAATCTAGTGGTATTGTAAAAATTATACTCTTCCTGACTTCAAAAGAAAACAAATTCAACAACTA